TTTTTTTTTTAAAAAAAATAAATCCTATTTTATGTTTTTTTTTTAAAAATGAGTTGGAAGTTTGAAATCGACGATTGCATTGCAGCAAGGTAATCGGTCTAGCTCATCTGCTTGTGGTAGTGCCGATGTACTCGAAGCTTTGGGAGTTGAAATTAATTTGGAACCTGAGGTATGTGCTAGATATAGTATGACTTTTTCTTTCTTTGAACCTTTTAAACTGGCATAATAAAACTTCTCATAAATGCACAGACATTATAGTGCCATTGAACATGCAATCATCCATGTTCTGATAAGAGAAATGGGTAACATGGACCACATGAAAACATCCTGTGACCTTACACTTAAATGTCCAATTCGAGCATTTGGGCTACCCCAACATTGACCTTTAACCAAATGGCATCAAATGAATTCAATGATCCACTTGGAACTGGACATACATTTAGAATGGTTTGAACTTTTGCAACATCTCATCTCTGAATTTATTTGGCACCTGACCTACCTTTGAGGCTGCCATTATGTATTTGAGCGAATATAGCGATAAAATAATTTAGAGATAAACTTTCTTAATGTGTTTTGTGGCTTATTTATATCAGGGTTTTTCTGTGCCAAGATATATATAAATATTTTTTTTAAGGGTACATAAGTATGTGATATTGTGCTGATAATTTCATATAATTTTTTTTTTAAGAGAGAGGGTATACATAAAAAGATGCCAACTGAAGAACCTAAACTATATATTGCCTATCTTCAGCCACTCGTTTATTAGGCCTATTTTATTATGTTTAGGGGGTTGCTAGGTGTGTCAATGAAGTAGGGATCGGCTTTATGATGGCTCCAGTTTATCACCCAGCAATGCAAATCGTTAGACCTATCAGGAAAAAGCTCAAAGTGAAGACAGTGTTCAATATCTTAGGCCCCATGTTGAACCCAGCTAGTGTCTCGTATGCCGTTGTTGGTGTGTACAAGGAAGAATTGGTGAGTTGTACTTTGCGAAATTGTGGTGTTGTATCAATCTATTTATGCGAATTCGAAGCTTTCTTTTGAATTTCATCATACTTTTTTGTTATTTTCTGCTTCTAAATGTGGTAGAACACGAAAAAGTTATGGTGAATCCTATTTATTTATTTATTCATTTTCCATTGCTAGGTGCATAAGATGGCAAAAGCACTTCAAAGATTCGGCATGAAAAGAGCACTGATTGTTCACTCAGAGGGACTGGACGAAATGAGTCCACTCGGTAAAATTAGATACATCCCTTTTTATCTTAACCGTAACATATTTTTTCTGCAAGCATAGAAAGATTCGAGCTCCATTTTGATTTTTTCTTCATAAAATTGTTAACTATATAGCTTATGCCTTTTCATTCTCATGTAATCATACCCAGATTTTTCTTGCAAATTTAAAACAGGGCCCGGATTAGTCCTTGATGTATCTCCAAATAAGATAGAGAAGTTCGAATTTGATCCATGTAAGATTCTTCAACTTACATAATAAATTCATGTTACACTTTCCCTTTTTTCTCTCAATAACTTACAGTTGGTTGTTTATATTGAATAATTTATTAGTGGATTTTGGTATTCCCCGATGCACTCTGGACGATTTACGAGGCGGAGACCCTGACTACAATGCTGAAGTTCTTAAACGCGTACTGTCAGGAGAAAAGGGCCCTATAGCCGATGCATTGGTAAATTTACGTCGCTACTTTTTTTTT